AAGCAATCACAAGAGAAAGGAAAAAGGAGAAAGAAGAAATAATTAATTTTGCTACTGTAGGTCCAAAACCTGGCATGACTTGAGGCATGGAATATATAAGATGTATGCATTGAATCAGCTGCTTGTTCTGTAGAGATTTTATTGCTCATTTCATAATTCCCATCTATTTTTCTCCATTTTCTGTGGAAGAATCTGTTTGAATTAAGGATCAGTTGAGCAAATGAGGGTATGGAAAAAACTGAAGAGCAGTAAGATCCACGTCTGAACCACAGGTGTTCTGCAGGAAATGCGGGTGGGAAAAAAAAAGCATTTAAAAGAAAATGTTTTATGACATAATTGCTATGCCATTGACTTTGTGCTGGGAAAGAGTGCTGAGCTGCACTGGTGGAAGCAATGGCAGGCTCAGGCTCCAAGGAGGTGTTTTCCTTTCTGACTCTGGTTTATCTCTGACCAGCAAAGCGATAAGTGGCTTTGGAATAGTTTTGGAGAAAGTAGCATAAATACACTGACTGCACATGGGAAGGGTGTTTTTATATGTCAGGTCTAACTGTAAGGAGGGTTTGGTATTTCTAAATGAATATTTAAAACAAGTGTTTGATAAGTTCTTCACTGGCAGTTTGGCTTGTGATTCATGTTGCACAGCCCCCAACCATGCCCCTCTCTATTTATAAAGTCATGCCTGGCTATATCTGACTTGCCAAATAAGCCTTACAAGCTGTGGAGGGGATTCTAGGGGCATAGTGTGGGAACCAGGAAATAATTTGGAGGAGTAAGGGCGGTTAGAAAGGACAAATTGCTGCATTCTGACTGCCCTCTGAAGACCAGACTGAATGTGCTGCTGCTGGGCTTCTTCACCATGAAAAAGTCCAGGAGGCAGGGATGTATGGCTTCAGTCTGCTGGGCACAAGGTGGAGAAAGAAGAGTAGAGTGAAGGTTTGTCTGAGCCGAGCCCCTGCAGGTGTTCCAGGATTGTGGAGGAGCAGGGGGAGGTTACCCCAGGGCAGCATGCCAATAAACCCAACAGCCAGTGGGTTTCTCCCTGTGCACAGTGCCTGGAGGGAGGCTGGGAGCTGCTGGAGCTGCTCCCCGGCCTCCTGTGGAGTGGAGTGGAGCCTCAGTGGGGGTCCCTGCTGGCATCTGCCCTGGCCCCTGCCACACACGGGAGCCCTTTCCAGGTCACTGCCCCCCGGCTGGCTGTGGCTGTGGGGTGCCTTGGTGCTGACAGGGCTTAGATGTGCACGGCAGGAGGGACACATCTCCAGAGTTGCATCCTCCTGCCCTCCTACCCTTCCTCCAGCTGGAGCTGCAATAAAGTATGTTTCCAAATGCTGATAACATAGTGGTTATCAAGTAGGTGCAGGACAGGGGAGATGAGGCAAAAGGACATGGGGAAATGCATTGGAAATTGTACTGGGAAGGACAGCAGGGGTTCCAGTAAAAGTGGAAGGAAGAGTCCTGACCTGCTTTGTCGATCTCATCTTCACAGACAACAGGCAAGGTGAGACAAACACATGCAAATTGCTTTTAGAGAGTGGTTTGGATGAAGTTTTTTCCCCTGCCAGTCCTTTTTCCATAGAGGTCATCTGCAAATGACCAGTAAATGAGAGATGAGGGCTGAATGTGGGACACATGTACATCCTGAGCCTGCCTTTGCAGAAGCGAGGCCCCATCAAATGTAATGGTTACCTGGGGAGATAAATGCCTTCACTCCAAATGTCCCCCCCTTCCTCCTTCTTTCTCCCACTTTCTATTCCGACATGATGTCATATGGTCTGCAATGTCACTTTGATCAGAGGGGGTCACCTGTCCTGGATGTGTCCCCCCCAGACTCCCATTGTGCCCCAGCTTCCTCACCAGTGTGGCAGTACCAAAAGCAGAAAAGCTCTTGGGTCTGTGTAAGCCCTGCTCAGCAATAACAAGAACATCTTGATATTATCAACCCTGTACTCAGCACAAATCCAAAACATACCTGCCACTGTGAAGAAAACTTCCTCAGTCAAATCCAGCACCTTGGAATGCAGATCAATCTCGTTACAGCATCCCTTCTTTCTGAGATTTTAGTGACTGAAGGAACTGGTTTTATTCCTGCTCATCTCTTTCTGTGTGCAGGAGCTAACTGCTTTCTGCTGGACATGGTTTGGCTCTGAAGGACTTAATAGGAAGCCAGTTTCTTTCTGGTTCAGCTCAGCAAGGCAGAAATGCCATAGTGTTCATTCACCTACCCTGAGTGCCTTTCTCCAAAGAGGTTTTGGAGCAGACAATGGGTCTGAGCACCCCGGGGACAGCATTTGGAAGCAGTCATATGGGCTCTACACCTACAAATGAATGAGTGTTTCATTCATTTGAGCCAGAGGAATATGTTTCTCTGGTCTTGTAGGGCATAGGGACCATAGAATTGTGGGGTTGACAAGGGTGCTCACACAGCTGTAAGAGTGTCAGGAGCACAGGCCAGAGCCCCAAACTCCCAGCCTCCTCTCTCAGGAGTAAAGCCAGCTGCCTCAGCAGCCACTGCTAGCAAAATGCTTCAGTAAGCTTCTCCTGTGAGCTTGGCTCAGTGAAGCTTTGCTAGTTCTGTATCCCCCATGTTTCTCATGGTGTCCATCAGCTCTGGCCCAGGGCAAGTGGGGAGGCAGGTGAATGTCGGTGCTGGGGCAAGATCTGACAAGCTCCACAACCGGCTCCTTTTCTGCTCCAGAAACAGCCCTCTACACCACCCTTGGCCCCCTTCAGTGGCAAAATCAGCACGTCATTTTCGAGAAGCAGCCTGGCTGATGCTTACAATGAGGTTCCTGGATCCTGGACATAGATGGCTCACTTAGTGTGAGGTGGCAGGGATAAAGGGGGTCAGGTCACCAGGGTGGATTTTTGCAGGGAGAAGTCTGGTTCACAGGAGGCTCAGGCTGGATTCCTACTCAGGCTGGAGAGATGAAAGCCAGCCTAACACTGCTCTCCAGAGCCAACAGGTTCCCCGTGCTGAGTGGATAATTCATTATAAACAATACATGCAGATGTCAGCACTCTCTAGGGGAGCAGCTCACAAGTGGTGCACAGGTTCTTTTCAAGAGCGTCCATTTGTCAAAACCATTCTCAAGATAATTTCTGGTGCCTCAGAGGGATGCTGTGTTTCAGGCTGGGTCTTTTCCCACTGGGCAAAGGTTTTGCTTGCTCCCCATCCTCCGAGAACTGAAATCTGAGTGCTAAGCCATGTGACAGCAGAACCGAGGTACCCTTCTTGTACGGATGCTGCAGGATCCACAGCTGCTTTTTGATTGCAGCTGGCCTTTTTGGTGACTGTGCTTGTGAGGAGGCTGCTTTGCTGGAGTGGGTTAGGATGGAGAGCACTAGAGGGGAAAAACAGGTGTCTGGAGACAAATGTATTTAAAATTTAATCTGAAGAGACCTTGGGGAAACAGTGGTAGTGTTTGCTTTTCTGTATTTTAAATCGGTATTGGGATTGCTGAACAGCTGGATTTCCTCCCAGGAAGTGATGAGGAAACCCTTAAAACACGATGGGCGATTTTACAAGACGCTGTACCATGTGAGAGGCTGCAGATACACACTCTGCTCCCCGCCAAGGTAGGCTGGTGCTTCAACTAACTACACAACTGGAGGGGCTTGAGCTGGCGGATGTGTGTCGCCTGCTGGCCACGCAGCAGGGGCCGGGGGTGCGGGACAGTGCCAGACCACAGGCCGGGATGGCTGACATGCAGCTCTGGCGGCTTCACAGCGGCGCTGACAGAAGGGCTGAGCCCCTGCCGCAGGGCTGTCCCGCCGCCGGCAGCCACCAGCGGGTCACCGGCGTGCGCCTCCCCCTCCCCTGGCTGCCTGGCTTTTCCTTGCCTTGCAGCAGCATTTCTTCCAGCTCCCTCAGGCAGAGCTGGGGGGATGTCGAGGGCATTTACGCACGCCCAGAAAGTCCTTTTCCAAAAAGAAAGCTGCAAAGCTGGTGAGCGGTTCGCAGTGCTTAGCACGTTTGGGTGTGCTCAGGCTGCTGGCCGGGGTTGCTATCAAGGCAAAGGAAGGAAGGGGCACGATAAGACTTTAATCTCCCTCCTCACTGGGGGATAAACGAACCCTGGCTGCGGTGGCATTTCCCAGCCCGGTAGCCAAAAGGCTGATCACACGCCTCTCCCTAGCTGCCGAGAGCTGCTCTCAGGGGGTTTGCACATCTGCAGACGCTAAGGGGTTAAAAATAGATCCCACCCCGCTGATGGCACATTTTATGTCCATTTAAAGGTGTGCCATGCATTTCCATCCTCCGTGAGACCTGAGCAAATGCCTCCATGGTGCTGACATTTTGTTCAAGGCTCTTTCTCTTTCCTAAGCCCACGGCTGCCCGGGCTGGCTCCCCACTCTGAGCGCTATTTTGGGGGGCTGCGTTTGCCCCCGGCTGCCCTGTTCTGAACGAGCAACGGCAGTGTGATCGCTGGCATGTCTGTGGCGCTCCTGCCGCGGTCTGCCCCGACACACAGCCAGCAGATAATGGGTTTGTATTTCTGAGCAAGTCAGGGAGCTGCTCTCTAACCGAGTAAAATGTTTGTTTGAAACGAGCCAGAGAATACCTGTTAGAAAAGCACCATCCTTTCTGCTACTCGTTCGTGTTGGCCATGTGGGATAGCTGCGCTGCCTTTTGGGCTGGACATCCCAGCAGCGTTCCTCTGGCACGCGTGTTCTCCAAGCGTCCTCCACGTGTGCTATAGGGAACATCTGGGGCTGGACCTCTGTGCTCCAGCCACCCCAGCTCCAGTGAGCTCCAGCCCTGGCCCGGCCCTCTGGAGCTGCAGGGGTGGATTATTCCCGCAGTGATTATTCCACCTCCCCGCCTCCGGTGGTGGGGGTGTGACCCCAGGTGTACCGCGCTTGCTGCCGCCCTGGCGCAGGCAGGGCCCAGCCCTGGTCAGCGCTGCAGGTCAGGGCATTTCCCACACGTGGCTCCTGTGCCGAGGAGGCTGCTCAGGGTGTGCATGGGGTGATTATAGCGCACAGCCGGGCCCCTGAGCATATTTGGAAGAAGCAACAGCGAAGAGGAGCTGCTGCCGGTTCTGCTGTGGAGAGCAGTGAGTGGGGGCTGGCGTGGTGGCACTGGGTGGCAAAGGGTGGCACCTTTTGAGGCATGTGCTGCTGCTACTTTGGCAGGGAGAGGGGAGCAGGGAGCAAGGCAGGAGCCCATGGCAGGGGGATACCAGCAGGTTTCCTTCCCACAGTGATGCTGGCAGGAGCCGTGTGCTGCTTGAAAAGGGGCTTTCTCTGCTGGCATCTGCCAGCTCACACACAGACCAGGCCATCACCTCATGCCATATGAAACCCAAGAAAGCTTGGATAATCTCCAAAGGGTGGATGAAATTCCCATATCAAGCAAGCTTCAGTGTAGCCCTGCTGAAGTCCAGGGAGGTTTGCCTTTGTGGGAGGACCTGGGTACTTTTATAAGGGGCTCCATTCCTCCCCCAGGAGCCCCCAGCCAGTCAGTGTGGCTGAGACCATATTAGGGATGCCTCTCCCTGAGTCTGAACTGCTTGTTTCCACCAGGTTCCCCACAGGAAAGCTCCCTGCAAGGTCCCCCCTGCACTGTCTCACAGAGCCAGTGAAAGCAGTGTCTTTGGGGTGAGAGGCAGGGACAATGGGACCCCATTGCTCGTCCTCCAAGCCAGCACTTGTCCCAGATGGGTAAAAGTGAGAACAAACCAATGTGCCACAAGGCAGAGGAGGGGGAGCTGTCAGCCTGTGCCCAGCCTACTGCTTGTGATTTTCCAGCTCGCCTTTGCCTTCCTCGCCACCATTTCCCATTTTTTCTGCTGCCCCTGTGCAATTTTGGAAGCAGTTTAGAAACTCAGCTCAGCAGCTGAGCCTTACCCCTGTTCAGAGCTGAACCCTTGATGTGACTGGCTTTATTTGGGATGAAATTTTGCAGGGCCCTGCCAAGAAGCTGGGACTCGTGCTCAAGTGCAGGGTACTGCTGAGGGCAGGTAAGCCCCTCTCAGAAGCTCCCTGCATAGTTTTCCTTTTGCCCCCATTGTGGCATCCTCCTTCACCCCATGTGTATTGTAAATGCAGGTGAACCTGCTGGGAAGAAATGATGATGTCTGACTCAGTTCAGAAGGCTGAATGATTTCTTTATTATAACTATACTATAATACATTAATATACTATATAAAGGCAACACTAAAACTACAAACCTACTTGTTCTAACTACCATCTCTAACTTACAACTTGTGACCCTGTTCTCGAGTCCAGACACAGGTGGATTGGATTGGATTGGCCATCAGGCTCAAACAATCTCACCAGAATCCAATCAAGCAATCACCCCAGGTAAACAGTTCTCCAAACACATTCCACATGGAAAAACAAGGAGCAGAAATAGAAATTGTTTTCTCTTTCTTTCCTCTGCGCTCCTCTTTGAAAAAATCCTGAGAGTGAGAAGGATGTACCTGCCATACATTTGTTTCCAGGGGGAGGAACAATGAGATTAGAGATTTCACAAACTGACAGTGATATCAGCCCAGAGCCAGCACTGAGCTGCCAATAATTTCTGGTGTTTAAAACCAGATTTGGTAATATGAACTTGAGCCAGCCTTGCTCCCAAGCCTTCTCATTGCAAAATCTTTGAAGCTTTTTCAAGCATTAAATGATTCTCTACAGATCATTTGTTATCACCCATCAATTTACTGCTTGGGAAACTGATCCATCACTGTGCAAGCTGCTGTTAGATGCAGGCCTGGCACTGGGCTGCCATATGGGGAATTGCAAGGCATGGGTTCCTATGCTGGAAAAAACATCCCAAAGCCATAGGAACAGCTTCTGTCCCCATCACCCAGAGGCTGACTCCAGCCCAGCAGTGATGGTCTGAAGGACTGATCTTCCAGAACTCATCACTTCAGCAGCACTACCTTACTCCTGTGAGATAGGGAGCAGGTTACAGCACAGGTGTTTTCCCCCAAAAGTTTATGTTCTCTCAGTGACAGATGGTTTCTCAGACATAGTCTTTAAATGGTGGATATTTTGAATCCCTTGCTTGTGGCAAATACTGTACCAGCCTCTTGGGTGTCATCCCAAAAGAAGGCGAGAAAGATGTGCTGGGATTGAAAAAGGAATATGAGCAGAAACAACAGCAAAAGTAACCCTGTCCAGTGGCCAGATGGCTGCCCCAGAGCTCCAGAGGGAAGGGAGTATGAGCCAAGAGCAGCTTTGGGTGGCCATATGAGCTTGAGATAAGACTGAAGGAAAGTGTGTGGGTACAGATACTTCTCCATGATCTTTCTCTCCCTCAGTGGGTGCACTCAGGCTGCCTCCTGCCATGACTTATGGAGGTGGCACCCTGCAGGTGTTACCGAGAACTCTGGAATGTCTTGCACACTGCAGGTGACTGTGTTGGACTCTGCTACTTGGAGCATGATGCAGGTCTGCCTTGACAACTTTTTTTAGGAGCAAGATCCCACCACAGGGTGAATTGCCTCAATCCCTGTTTATCCTTTCTTTCAGGGGAATTTCATAAGTGACACAAGTCATTCCTGACAGAATTAAAAACCCAGGCATTTTCAGATTGAGTTTCTTTGTTTTGAACTGTCCCCTTAAAGCATGGTGAAAGAGAGGTGAATGCAGGTGCCCACTGTGGGCCCAAGCCTTTAACAAAGCCTTTAGTTTGGAGGGAATATATGTGGACTTTTAGAGAGCAGCCAGCTCTGGATTTACTCCCCATTCACCAGACTCTTGGGAAAAAGAGATGTGGTGAGCAGTCCCTTCTACATGTGCCCACACCCCACTGTTTGTAAGGAGCTGTGGGAAACCCACATCCATCATGAAAAACACTCAGGCTGTAGCTGAGAGTTGGGTGTCCAGCATTGCCTGTGGAGCTGCACATCTGGAAGCCAGCTCTTTGCCTTGGCCATGGGACAGGCAGCTGCTGAGCAGAGACCCAGAGGTCACCAGTGAGCCTGCTGCTCACTGGGGCTGCACAAGAATGAGATAAAAAGGGACAGACGGGAAATATCTCCCAATTCTCCTGCCTCTTACTCAGCTGGCATGTAAACTTGGACTTTTCTCAGACTGAGTAGGCAGCCTGCAAATGTGCTGCTGGGGGCAGTGCCTTGACAAGCACCCGGTTAGTGCTGGCTGTAAGATCTGTTCCCTCACTAGGAACTGTTCATTTGACCAGTCAACAGTGGTCTGCAACCTTGCAACCTTAAGGGGCCAGGAAAAAAAAAAAAAAAAAGAGAAAAGAGCTGATACCAGTATGGACTTTATTCTTTGCCACTGTGACAATTTAAAATTGGGAGCTGAGCTGTGTGAACAGCCAGCCTCACTGGGTGCCCAGTCCGAGATTCAGGACTGCAGAAGCCAGAAGGCACTCAGGGGTGGGAAATGCCTCTCCCTGCTCTTGGCCACATTCCTAGCACACAACCCAAGGAACTGCATCTCTCTTTTAATCTTTTAGCAAGGTGTGTGGAAAGCATGGACCTTTGACAAGACACAGGAGCTGCTAAGGCTGCTGTGAGCTCTGCTGCTGCAGGTTCTTGGAGGCACAGCCACTAAGGTGTAACAGCAACAATATTCAAGCTGCTCCAAGGAAAATGTGAGACTTACATAAACAACAGGATTTGTGATCTGAGCTGCCAGAGAGGGGTTGCAGGGCTTCCCCAGCAGGTTGCAACTCACAACAGCTGTGGTCAAGTTTCCCAGAACTCTGGATACCAGGATCAGGCAGTTCTGGGAGACTTCTGCAGCTGTGTGCACTACTTCCAACTAGCCTGTCCCTAAGAGCATTTGAACCAACTCTTCTGATCCTTCTTCTATGACAGAGTTACCCTGTGGGCAGCTGGTGTAGGCCTAAAAAGGATTATAACCCGTGAAACCAAAGAACCTGCATCTGCAGGATTAACCAGGCTGCTATGAACAGCATGATGGCTTGTTTTGTGAAGTGACTGGGACAGCTACACCCAGTATTTGGCAAAGATACACTGATCTAGGTGAAAGCAGAGTTTACATGTCTTAAAAGACCGCGTTTTTCCCTATCTGGCAAAATTTTCTTGCTGATTTGTAGTTTATGCTGTCAAATACTTTAAAAATGCATTTCTCTTTATGAAGCAATCTTATTTCTTTTCCCTGTTTTTTTTCTCCTTCAGACTTTGCCCAAGCAAACTCAGCAGCCCAGTTTCAGACCCTGACAGCTCCTGATCTGGCTGGAAGCCAGTCTGTGGATCTGAAAGATATGTTGACGTGTAATTTTTCCACTCCTACTGCATATAAACTGTCCACTATTCCCCTTACTGCCTGGAGCTAGGGAGACATGCAATGGCAAAAGAATGCAAGTCAAAACCATGTGTAAATGACCCATGTGATTACCCAGTGTTTTTATGGATCATACTCTGCAAAATAACATCCATGCTCATTTTTCATTACCTGCTACTTTTTGCATAAAACTCAGGCTATCTCTCTGCTCTTGACTTCACTGTGGTTATTTCAGACAGAAATAAGGCTGTTTCCCAGCCCTGGCTGATGTCCTCCCTGGTGGGAATGGTGCTCCCTTTCAAAGGGGGTAGTGGAGGAAGCTGGGACTCCTGAGGTTTGGCATCAATCAGTCACGTGTCATGGATCTGGTCAGAAACTCTTGACGTACCCAGCTACCTGGTTTGCTACATGTAGAAGAGCAATAATAGGGATTAAGAGGCATAAATAAGATCCTCAGGGAAAAGTGCTTTAAAAGGAAAAAAAAAGCATGTTTGGAATTTCAGTGTTATGATTCAAATGGTGGTTTTAATTCATTTTTTAATGAAGGTGAAGTGCAGCAAAGTATGCGAGAGAGGAAATTCTAATGTTAGTATCAGCCTCATAAATGTTGTACTTCCTCATTTAGGAATCATTTAATAACTGGCTATTCTCAGTACATGGAAATCTCTGCCGTGAGATATTGAAGCCAAAACTCATTAGGATTAAATTAATAATAATGTTTATACAGCTACACTGAGAATATCCAGAGCTGCTGTGTCGAGGACAGGAGATGATTCTTGTCTGGCACATACGGAGCTGCTTGGCTGTAGCTGGAGGGGTGAGGGAGGAGTTGCTCTTTACCCGGGACAGTCCCAGCATCCTGCCCTGGAGCTGCGCAGTGTATCTGGAACTGGTTTGGGATGCTGGGCCCTGTTGCCTGGTTGTTGCTGCACTGTACGTGTCAAGATTAGATTGTGGCATGGGGAAGGTGCCCGGCAGCCACATCCAGGCATCTGCTTACATCAGCCTCAGGTAACGTGTGAAGTACAATATCAGCTGGTTGTCTGAAGTACAACTCTGCTGGGTGTCTCTGCACACTTCTGTCACAAGTCTTCTTACACAAGTGGTCCCCAGTCAGTTTCCAAGCCTTGTGGCTGCCCCCTCCCCAGGCACTGGGGGATGCACACACAAACTGTTGGATGGGGAGGGTTGCACTGTGAAGGAGAAACTTGAGCAGGAGTGTCGCCCTGATTCTTAAGATTTTCTAAAGCCTTCTGAGTTTACATTTTTGTAGAGAACTTTCTCACACAACTTTCTGCAAACAACCTATTGTTTTGCATTCCTTCATAGAGGCAGAGAAACTTGATGTACTGGTAGTTTGTCCAATGTCGTTGGAGAGGTGGTATGTTCACCCTCCAATCCACTGTCACCTTTGGAAAATTATAAATGTTGGAGTCAGAAATAAGTCTTCCTCTTTTTTACCTTTGCAATAGCAGCGGCTCGCATCGTGCTTTCACGTGTCCTACAGTGACACAGGAGTGTGAAGGTGCAGCTTACCCCTTACCACACGGGAGCTGGGTGCTCATTGTTTTGTCAGCAAGAGTGCTGACATTGTACTCTGTACAGCACAATGTAGAGGATGGGTGGAGGCAGCTGCTAACAACACCCATCCTCATGTGTTCATCATGAAACACTGACACCTTGCAGGCTGTGAAGATTAAGTGCCTCCTCTGAAGAGCACAAAGTTTAGGGAAAAAATATTGCAGGAAATGGGAACTCACAAACTGTGTGCCAGGATCTGGAATCTGTCATACTGGCATTTCCTATGTGATGGATGACACATGGATTAATGACTGGGCAATAGGTTTATGAGCACCCCAGGAAGAAGTTTGGTTCTGCAAAAGGTAATCCCTTCCTGATAGAGAAGCCATCAAAGAGCATCCATAAACCTCTGATACAAATGTCTTTTTAAACTGGTGTCATGGTTCAACCCCAGCTAGCAACTCAGCACCATGTAGTCCTTGCTCAATCCTCTCACTCCTTGGTAGGATGGGGAGGAGAAACAGGAGAAAAGAACAGGTAAAACTTGTGGGTAGATTGAAATAAAGTGAAATATAATAATACCAATTATAATAATAACAATAATAACATATAATGATAGCAATAAAAATGAGAGGAAGAGAGGAATAGAACCCATGAGAAACCAGTGCTGCACAGTACAATTGCTCACCATCCACTGACTGATGCTTGGCTTACCCACAAGCAGTGACCATTGGCTCCTGGGCATCTCCCCCCAGTTTATACACTGGGCATAATGTTTTATGGTGTGGAATATCCCTTTGGCCTGTTTGGGTCAGCTGTCCTGGTCATGCTGAGAGAGTAATCAGTGTATTAATGACTTTATTGTCATACTGACTCCAACACACAGCACTGTACCAGTTACTAAGAAGAAAATTATCTCTGCTGAAACCAGGACAACAGGGAACAGAAGTGTTTTGGGAAAGGAAAGATTGATACTATAAAATATGTGGAAAGAAGAGCACAATTTTCATAACCACAAATAACCAGATAAAACTGTGCAGGTTGGTTCAAAATGACATTTTGTACAAAATAACATTTTAAGAAAGGAAAGGAAAATCTGAAACCCCCAGACCTTGCTGTTTATTTGAAATCCACTTATGTCACCTGCTTGTGTAGATTGAGCACAGTATCAGAGTAAGAAACCAGAGTTAATTGGGAAGCAATCTGCTCCCCTCTCTAGACAGCACTTCTACAACTGCTTTCTCCAGTTCTGTCTTCAGTTACAGGTGTTTATAAACCTATTGTTCCCTGTTATTTTCAAAAAAATACTCTCTGTCATGGCAGGTGGTGCTGAGGACATGGCTGGACTCCAGTGGGACCACTAAGGCCAAAAGGAGAAGGCGCCAGAGACAACCCAGATGCCACTGGAGCCCTCAGTGGGGAAAATAACTGAGTGAGGCAGGTCCAAAATATAATCCTCAGGATAGCACTGGATGGGGGGAGAAAACTTCCCTGGTTTTATTCCAGGGAAGTATGCAGGCAAGGCTCCTGCATTTCTGCCTTGGGCAGGATACTGTGAATGTCACAGCATGGAGAGAAGGAGCTCTCTGAAGGACCCCCTCTCTCGTTTTTGAGGCTACTGAGCAGGGGTAGGTGTTCTGCTATTTCTGTACCTCTCTTCCCTGTAAATACGCTGCCCAGACTCTCCTTGCTGGCAGCCCTATCACCACCCACCCATGGGAGCAGCAGGTAGAGCTGAAGGAACCTGGGGAAGTTGGGACAGGTTTGAAAATGGAACTGAACACGTTTATGGATGCAGATCTGCAATGTGCATGCCTGCAGCACCAGGCACACAGGGTGTCACTGCATTTGGGCTCTCCTGACTGCGTTTTCCTGAATTGCAGCTGGATACGCTGGATTTTTCCAACATCCTGCCGTCACGGGGCTGTTGACATAACTGCAAGGGCTGTGTGGCTGTGAGGGCTGGAGGGAGATACCCAGGCCCTTCTGCAAAGGTCAGGCAACATCTCTGTCCCCCTCATTCATGCCTGGGCAGCACGGGGTTGGAAAGCCTGAGCCAGTAGGTGGAAAAACGGGGCTAAATACTCTTCGATCTGAACATCGATTAAAGTAAGTCAATTGGGTTATGCTAGCTGTATCGATGTTCAGATTGCATCACTCTGCCGCGCAGGCAGAGGTGCTTACCCGCCCCCTCACCTTAAAGCCACCAACACTTTTTTCAGTGAAGTCTTGGCCATCGTTTACCATCCTGGGAATCCGTGCCCGCTTGTGGGTGTTTTTTTTTTTTNGAAAAGAAAAGAAAAGAAAAGAAAAGAAAAGAAAAGAAAAGAAAAGAAAAGAAAAGAAAAGAAAAGAAAAGAAAAGAAAAGAAAAGAAAAGAAAAAAAGAAAGAAAAAGAAAAAATAAGAAGAAAAGAAAATTACCCAGCCTTGCAAGGATGGGTCACCCTGAGGGTAGGAAAGCTCATCCTCTGTGCTCACCATCCCTGCCCAGAGGGGGATCAAAGTCTCCCAGCCAGCCTTGCAATCAGAAAAGTCGGTGAGACATCCCTTGTTAATTTTCCCCTCCACATTCATGTATTTAAACAGAATTTTATAGTCTTTGGGCATTCAGCAGTACCTATTCCATTACATGTGCAGCTACAGTCATACCAGAGAACTCATCAAGAGAGGAAATGCAACTCCCTAACACCAGCCCAACCTATTAACTTCTCTCATATCCCATTTATTCTTTTTTTTGTTTTGGTTTAGTTTTCTAGTTTTTGCGGGTTTTTTTTTGTTTGTTTGTTTGTTTGTTCTTTGTTTTTTGGTTTTTTTTTTTTGTGTCAATCAAGGGACGCACAGGGCAAGGCAAACGGAAAAATACTGTTTGCTTCCTTATTAGTTGAAAGAAAGAAAGAAAGAAAGAAAGAAAGAAAGAAAGAAAGAAAGAAAGAAAGAAAGAAAGAAAGAAAGAAAAGGAGCAGTTTCCTAGAACTGTTTTCTGTTTCTGAAAATCCATCAGTGCCCCCGTGTGTCGGAGCGGGGGCTGGCGAGGAGGCCGGAGAGGCTCTGTGCAGAGCCTGCGCATGGCAGGGGCGGTCAGGTTTGCAGGTGTCCAAAATAGGGCGCTCGCTCGCAGCCCGCCGGCAGCGGGTGGGGCTGGGCGGGGGGAACACGCTGTCCCCTCCCAGAGGGGGGCTGAGAAGTGAGCGAGCCGTGGCAAAGGCTCTGCAACAAACCATTTTCAAGGACAATCGTGTCCCACAGGGGCACGATTCGCTGCGATGCCCTAAATACGGTGTGTGAGAGAAGGAAATATCCAGAAATCGCTGAGGAGCCGAGAGTGCGTGTCCGTGTGCGGGCAGGCAGGAGGGCGGAGGGCGGCTGCAGAGGCCGCCCCGGTTTCTGCGCTTATTTCTAAAGCGTTTCGTACCCCCAGAGACGGCGGCCGCCCAGCGCAGGGCTGGATTAGGCGAATCCTGTTCTGGCGACGGGTTTTTAAAGCATATTAGTGCAAAATGGGGAGAGGCCCCTGTTGCTGAAGAGGCTTTCGCCTCCCTCCGGCCGGTCCTGGCTGCTGCGCATCCTTTGCTCTTACAGAAGCAGCATGGGAGGCAGCAGAGGCACCCCCGCGGCCCGGGGCGCTGCACGCAGCAGGCGCCGCTGCTGCTGCTGCTGCTGCATCGGTTCTGACGCGCTGCACGGA